AAAGGTAATTATTCTAGTGGGAGATAGGAGCGAGTGGACATCATAAAAATACATTCTTCTATTGACTCAACATGCCTTTCAGCAAAATAATTTGGGGTTTATACTTTCCAAAAAGGGGTCCTTTGGGTGGGTTTTGTGCTATCCTGACATTTTATGCTCAACATTAGCACACATCACCCACTTGAAACCACTAATCACTTGAAGATGAGGCCTTTTCTGACACTCTTTGTTGACATGAAAAAAATCAGTATTTTTTGCTAGAAAATTACTTTGAACCCTCAAAAGCTACAGTTGCAAGAAAAAGTATGTGAACCCCTTGGGATTACGTGGAGTTTTGCATGAATTGGGCTTAAAATGTGCTCTGAACATCATCTAAGTCACAACAATAGAAGAACACAGTCTGCTGAACATAATACTACACAAACATTAGATGTTGCCATGGTTTAATTGCACATAACATGTAAACATTCACAGTTCAGGGAGGAAAAAAAGTATGTAAAACCTTTGGACTTAATAACTGGTTGACCCTCCTTTGGCAGCAGTAACCTCAACCAAAGGTTTCCTGTAGTTGCAGATCAGACCTGCACAACGATCTGGAGTAATTTTGGACCACTCCTCTTCACAAAACTGTTTCAGTGTAGCAATATTCTTGGGATGTCTGGTGTGAATCGCTCTCTTAAGGTCATGCCACAGCATTTCAATCGGGTTGAGGTCAGGACTCTGACTGGGCCACTCCAGAAGGCGTCTTCTGTGCTGTTGCAGCCATTGTTTTGTTGAATTACTCGTATGCTTTGGGTCATTGTCCTGTTGCATCACCCATCCTCTGCGGAGCTTCAGTTGGCGGACAGATGATCGTACGTTTTCCTGCAAAATGTCTTGATAAACTCTGGAATTCATTTTCCCATCAATGACAACAATCCGTCCAGGCCCTGAGGCAGCAAAGCAGCCCCAAACCATGATGCTCCCTCCGCCATGTTTCACAGTGGGGATGAGGTTTTGATGTTGGTGTGCTGTGCCTTTTTTTCTCCACACATCGTGTTGTTTGTTCTTCCCAAACAACTCAATTTTGGTTTCATCTGTCCACAGTATATTTTGCCAGTAGTGCTGTGGAACATCCAGGTGCTCTTTTGCAAACTTCAAACATGCTGCAATATTCTTTTTGGACAGCAATGGCTTCCTCCGTGGTGTCCTCCCATGTACTCCATTCTTGTTTAATGTTTTCCTTATTGTAGATGTGTCAACAAAAATGTTAGCATGTGCCAGAGATTTCTGTAGGTCTTTAGCTGACACTCTGGGATTCTTCTTTACCTCATGCAGCATTCTGCGCTGTGCTCTTGCAGTCATTTTTACAGGACGACCACGCCTAGGGAGAGTAGCAACAGTGCTAAACTTTCTCCATTTGTAGACAGTCTGTCTTACCGTGGACACATGAACATCAAGGCTTTTGGAGATACTTTTGTAACCCTTTCCAGCTTCATGCAAGTCAACAATTCTTTATCGTAGGTCTTCTGAGAGCTCTTTTCTGCGAGGCATGGTTCACATCAGACAGTGCTTCTTGAAACCAGTAAACCCAAAACAGGTGCGTGTTTTTTAAGGGCAGGACAGCTGTCAGTCAGCAACACATCCAATATCATCACACCGATTGGAGTCAAGGTTGGCTCACTCCTGGCTCCAATTAGCTCTGGGAGAAGTCATTAAGCTAGGGCCTCACATACTTTTTCCTCCCTGCACTGTGAATGTTTACATGTTATGTGCAATTAAACCATGGCAACATCTAATGTTTGTGTAGTATTATGTTCAGCAGACTGTGTTCTTCTATTGTTGTGACTTTGATGACGTTCAGAGCACATTTTATGCCCAATTCATGCAAAACTCCACGTAATCCCAAGGGGTTCACATACTTTTTCTTGCAACTGTATATATTGTTTTAAAGCAGAGGCCGTAGAGAATAAAGTGGTGGGTGTTGCAACTTTTTATGCCACACAGTACTTGCGTAGCGATTTTTAAAATGCAAAAGATTAGTGTGATCAGATGCTTTTTATTTTAAAAATGGCGCTGTTTATATCCGGCAAAACCGGAAATGCTCGGAGCTTCCAGTTTCTTAGACCATAGAGATGATTGGAGCCATTCCGGTCTCTGAACAGCTCTATGGTCAGCAGGCAGAACCACGGCTGCATTCCTGGGTTTCCCGGTGGGGCAGTAGAAGAACCTGAGAAGCCATGGAAGGAAGCGGGGGTTGGGGGTCCCCTCCCACTGCTTGTAAAAGCAACCCAGTGGCTAATTAGCTGGTAGGATTGCTTTTATATGAAAGCTGATCGTCGGCTAAAACAATAATACCAGGATGATGCCCATAGCTGCAGGAATCGTCCCATATAACCACTCAAAGTTCAGCTAACATTACATCACTGGTCCTTTTTGGGCATGTATGGAAAATTCTTTTTTTTCATTCCCACCATTAGATTATGCCGCACTGCATCCATGGTGTTCCTGCAAAGCAAACAACGGTTAACAATAAAACACACTAACAATAGAACGTTAAGTCAATAAAAAGACAACTTTTATTAATGAAATCTTTGCCAGAAATTTTTTTTTTAAATATATGCCGATGCATAGGAACAATCCACCCACTGACCACCTAAGGTCCCCAATGCTTGAGCATATATGTTCTTTTTTTAACTGCGGATGAAAAATCTCATATAACAGCGCTGCACGCAGTGACGTATATTCTGAGAGCAAGACCCTGCTGCTATCAGGATAAACAGATCGGTGCTGCAGCTGAATGGTGTTCCTGCAAAGCAAACAACAACAGCTAACAATAAAACACAATACCAATAGAACATTAACTCAATAAAACAATAACTTTTTTAATTGAAATCTCTGCCAGAAAAAATGAAAAAAATATATGCCGAAGCATAGAAGTGATTCACCCACTGACCGGCAGGATGCTACTTGTGCTCGCCACCATACCAGCTTGTAATGCACTTAAGGGACTCGCCACATCATCAAGTAATACTGCAATGCTGGTATGAAAAATACTAGGATGTACTAGGCCTCTGATGCTCGCCAGTTCACCAAAAGGTAGTGAAGTACTAGTACTGGAACTCTGCTGCATATGAGACAAGTCATGAGTTCCTAGCACTTCAGCATCATGGGGTCAGGTACGCCTGATCTTAACAGGGACCTCTTCTCCATTGTCTGAGCTACCTGACGGGTGCCACTGCTTTCTACAGGTTCATATTCTGAGGCAGATTCTGTCAGGGAGGCTTCACCTTCTCTCTCATCTGACATGCTCAGAATCCTGTAGGCCTCTTCACTAGTGTACCTGTTTTTGAGACATTTTGGCCTCTAAATTTACAGGTACCTAGTGCGACTCACGGGAAAAAGAGTGCCTGGCTGTCAAGCTTGAACCGCTACCAATAATATTCACCTGCTAGTGTAGGCCTGATTCTGCTAACGCTGCGGTTTTGTGTGCAATGTATCACAGGTGACAGTGAGTCAGACATTACACTGACACTGCATTTCTTGTTAGGGGTGGAGGGGCTAAACGCAAGTGCTGTCAGCGAACAGGGCTGATCCTGCTAACACTGCATTTTTGGGGACATTAATACTAAGGGGGCACTGGTATAGTTCTGTTCGTGATAAATATATTGATCCATACAAAATTATACAAGTAATGACAGTGATCAGCGACCTATAGCATGAGTGCAATAGTGTGCGGGCAATCTAGCGGTAGCTGACCCTGGCTGAGAGTGGCACTAACTGACATGACGCTATCTGACATCGCTAGTGGCAGTAATACAGTGATCAGTGAAAAATACTGTACACTGATACTGTACTAATGGCACTGGCAGGGTGACAGGGGGCAATCAAAGGGTTAATGTGGCAATCAAGGGGTTAAATATCTCTATCTAACATGTGTGGGTGCAATGTGCTGCTTTTACTCAAAATGGTTCCAGGCAGAGAAGATCCAGCTAGATTCTGTGCCTGTATTTAGAAATTAAGGCACAGCTCTGCTTCTCCATTGGCTGTAGGAGATCAACAGAGTCCCAGCCAAAAATCATTGTTTGAGACCTGCTGATATGCATTTGCATTTCCTACAGTGAATAACAGCGGGGGTCAGCAGGGTGGGGGGGGGTCGGGCGCGTGCATGTGCTCTCTAAACCTGGAAGAGCAAAGTGATGTATGGGCATGTCGCTTCACCTGTAGATACAGCCCATCTGCAGTACATTACGGGGCGGGAGGTCAGCAGATGGTTAAAGACCACTTTATATTTTTGTAAACATTTAGGGCTTCACGCAAACTAGAGTTTTTTAAAGTACCTAGAAGCTATTATCAGCATATTTTTTTGTCCTCCTAAAAGCTAAATAGCGTCATCCTATGTGTCTATGCACACTACTTTAAGCTATTAGCATTTTTTGAGCTTCAGCGTTTAGGAGCAGAAAAAAAAAAATTGTTTTTTGGAGCATTTTTCCAGCAGAAAAAAATGCTAAACGCAATTAAAACGCTCCTAATAGTTTTTTTCTAGCCTTTTTTTCTTTTCTTTTACATTCACTATAAAAATGCTACTAAAACGCTAATGCTCAAAATGCTCCTAAATGCTGCTAAAAATGCTATTACCAGCGTTTTTTTTTCCAACATTTTTCACATTTGTCACAGTGTTTTTTGAGCTTAAAAAAATGCTAGTGTGCCTTAAACATGGACAATGAATTTTTGCCTATGCTAAAAAAAGAACAAAATGTAATCCATAGCAAGCAATTAGAATCCACTTTAGAATAACAAAACAGTAGTAGTATTTTCTGGTTGGTTGCTATAGTAACATTTGGCTGAACTTTTGTTCAATAATTAGTTTCATATAGTTATTTAACCGCTTCTGCGCCGCCCTATAGCAGAAATACTGCTACAGGGCAGCATGGGTGTGCAAATTCACATGCATATATACATGATTTTGCGGTTCTGGGTAGGGTAGGGTAGGGGGCGCACATGCGCCCTACCCACACCACCATTCGTGGCCTTGGCTGTCAATCACCGGGTCCTGTCCAGTGATTCCTCGCCTGCACCCGGTGATCACCGAGTATCTCCGACAGGGGAGAGACCTGTGTATAAACAACACATCTCTCCCCTGTCAGCTCCTGCACACTGCTTTGTATGGATGTGCATAGCAGAGCCATTCAAAGCAGTGTGCTTACAGTGGAAAGCACACACAAAGCCCCCATAGTGAAACAGCACACAGTTAACCCTTTGTTTGCCCCACATGTTAACCCCTTCCTGCCCAGTGTTATTAGTACAGTGTCAGTGCTTTTTATTAGCACTGATCACTGTATTGGTGTCACTGGGGATGTCAGTGACACCAAGTCATTTCCCAGAGAGTCACAAAGCCCGCTGCAGTCCCGCTATAAGTTGCTGATCGCTGCCATTAGCAGTAAAAGAAAAACAAATTCCAGCATATATACCGCCATTTGTAAGTGCTATAACTTAAACCAATCACTGGTCTGCCATATTTTGAAGGTCTAAAAATATAATACCTGATTTTAAGCCAGTTTTTTGCGCTGATTCCGAAAATCATGCTCATTTTACCCAATCAGATCACGTTTTTGAGATTTGAGCACATACCAGATATTACTACTGTATATTGTGATTTTTTTTTTTTTGTTTATTCACAGAAGATATTTAAAATGTTCTTAAAATATACCAAAAAGAGTAAAAACACAGTAAACCCTAATCATGGATGAAAGGTCTCTTCAGGGACTTCCGATTGTGCTGAGCAGACACCACATCCCTCTGCAGACACCAGCAGTAGTCAGCCAGAAAGTTGACATCCCATCAGCCTTGATAGCATTCCTCCATCAAACAGAGATCTTGGTGAAAACGCTCACTCTGTTCCTTACTGAAGTTTCCACAATTCTCTGGAAAATAGTCAAGATGGGACCAAAGGAAATGCATTTTCACCAACATGCGTGCACCAAGTTGGCGGAAGTTCTCCATTAACTCATCAATGGTCATTTCATACTGAGGACTTCTGTGGTTGCCAAGGAAGTTTGCAATGACTGACTTAAGGGACAGCCAGGCAGAGAGTTCAGCAGGATTCAGTGCTTCATCAAAAACTACGTCCTTGATGAGCTCCCTTATCTGAGGACCATCAAATATATATGCCTTAAATCTTTCCATGCTAACCCATGGAAACTTCTGATGGAGAAAAGCAAATCCTTCACCTTCCCTGTCCAGTGCCTTTACAAAATTTTTCATAAGTCCAAGTTTGATGTGTAGGACTGGTTCAACCAGAGGGTCGGACAGAATATTGTGTGAGCAGGGTTTTAATCCCGTCTGGATGGCCACTCTTGTCTGACATAGTGCTGGTTGTCAGCCTGGCTGTCCCACAAACAAAGAAAGCATGGATACTTTGTGTACCCACCTTGAAATCCTAAAATGAGTCCAACAACCTTAAGATCTCCACAGATCAACCATTTGTGTTCCTTGTAGTTGAGAGCAGACAACAGACTGTCTATTGTGCGTTTCTTTCATTGCAACTGTGTGTCCAGCAGGGATCAATGACAACTTACTTCCTTTATTCAGAATAACTGCCTTGAGACTTTTCTTGGATGAGTCAATGAAAAGTCTCCATTGCATGGCATCATACTTCACACCCAATAATTTGGTCAGGTCAGCAATGTTGTTACAGCAGACCAGTGAAGACGCTTCATCAAACGTGAAGAACTTTCTAAATTCTCTCTCACGGTCCCGATAGCAATAGAATGTTGTTCCTGGTGCCAGCAGATGTTTCTCTTGAAGTCGTGAACCTAATAGCTGAGAAGACTCCTTGGAAAGGTTCAGGTCTCATGTCAGGTTGTTGAGTTCGGCATGGGTCAATGGCATCGGTTGGTTGACCTCTTCTTGCTGGTATGCATCACACTCAGCTGTATCGGTTGTCTCACTACATTCAGGATCAGAACTAGATTCCATGGTGACATTGGACTCAGGAACAGGAAGATGGTCGCCATGGGGGATAGGTTTTATGGCAGAAGGAACATCAGGGTACTGAACATGATGCTTGTTCTTGCCATTGATGCCCTTTAGGTTTGTTATGCAGAAGTAGCAGTCGGTGATGTGATCTTTCCCTTCCCTCCACACAAGTGGGATAGAGAATGGCATACTCTTCCTTTTTTATTCCTCCAATCCCATAGGTTCTCCAAACATGTTTTACAGCTGATATGGGGAGTGAATGGCTTATCCTGGCCCCCTAGTTTGACTCCAAAGTAAGCATGATATGTCTTCTTCACAAAACCCGTGATTTTTGCTTTACAGTTTGGAAGAACCACATGTCCAAGGATATAGCAGAACCTATTAGGATGGTTTTTACACTTATGATTCATTGCAATACACCTGAAAAGAAAAAAAGGTTATTTACGGTTATCCATGCCCATTTGTAACAAAAACAGAGCTCATAGAAGTTTGAATGATAGCACTATTTTGGAAGAATATGTTGTAACAAAAATTCAACATATCTTCAAAAACCAGACCTGAACAAAGAAAATGAATGATATTTTTGAATTCAGCATGCAAAAATGTTTCTGAATCTGTTGTGAAACGCTTGAACTTTGAAAAAAAGTTTTAAAACGCAGACCAGTGAATTAATTTACACATGTTTAATAGCAAAAAGTACAAAATTGTCGGTCTTTATTTGTTTATAGTGCAAAAAATAAAACCACAGAGGCGATCAAATACCACCGAAAGAAAGTTCTATTTGTTGGACGTAAATTTTATTTGGGTGCAGGGTTCTCCTGAGCGCGCAATTGTCAGTTAAAGACATGTTTGAATTAATTTGGGGTAGGATAACAAAGTTTACTTGAGGACATACATCTACTTTTCTCTGAAGAGAGTTTTCGAATGGACAATTGTTTTTTTTTTTTTTTAGAATACTTTGAAGTTGTGCTACAATGCAACAGAATAGAATCACAGCTCCAACTCTCTATAAAAATGGTGTTAGAAATGCTTTTGCAATAAAATAATATATCAAGGGAGGTGTGCAAAGTAGAGGTTCAATTTATATTTTGTTAGATTGAAATGGCAATCGCCTTAAAGTCTCCTAGGCAGCGGATGATCTTCTTTCAATATTGCAGTTTTCAGTACATTCTTTTGATTGATGGGTACAATTTATACTGCAAATCTGATTTACACCTGAAAAGTTTCACAACACCAGGGGTGGATTGAACAGTCGAGCACTCAGGCACTGCCCGAGGGCCGGGGTCAGTAGGGGGCCCCATGAAATGCCCCTGGCACCTTTTTTATAGGCTTTTTTGGGTGTGGGCAAGGACACAGGGGCCCCATGATCCCCTATTGCCCGGGGGCCCCATGAGTTGTCAGTCCGCCCCTGCACAACAGCAAAATATCCTGCTGCTAGCAATTCATCAGAGTTTGGTTTTCAACTCCACAGTGCTAAAATAAAGTTGATTTGTTGCTATGGTCAATAATTACAGGACATTTTCATGTTAGATTTAATTTAACCACTGGACTTCAGGGCACTTATACCCCCTTCCTGCCCAGGCCAATTTTCAGCTTTCAGCGCTGTTGCACTTTGAATGACAATTGCGCGGTCATGCAACACTGTACCCATATAAAATTGTTAACATTTTTTTCACACAAATAGAGCTTTCTTTTGGTGGTATTTAATTGCTGCTGGGTGTTTTATTTTTTTCGCTATAAACAAAAAAAGAGCAAAAATTTTGAAAAACAAAGTTTTCCTAGTTTCTATTATAAAATTTCACAAACAGGTAATTTTTTTCTCCATCACTGATGTGCATTGATGAGGCTGCACTGATAGGCAGCACTGATGGGCATTGATAGCAGCACTGATGGGCACTGATGAGGTGGCACAGATAGGTAGCACTGATGGGCACTGATAGGAGGCACTGATAGGCGGCACTGATGATGCTGCACTGATAGGCGGCACTGATGGGCAGCACTGATGATGCTGCTGTGATGGACGGCACTGCTGGGCACTGGTGGGCGGCACTGATGGGCGGCACTGATGGGCACAGGTGGGTGGCACTGATGAACACAGGTGGGTGGCACTGCAGGGCACAGGTGGGTGGCACTGATCGGCACAGGTGGGTGGCAAAGGTGGGTGGCACTGTAAGACACAGGTAGGTGGCACTGCAAGGCTCAGGTGGGTGGCACTGATCATCAGGGCACTTGATCAGCGCAGATCCCTTCGCTGGCAATTGCTGGTTCTCGGCAGTACTTTCCTCATGCTGTGACAGCATGAGGAAAGTGCAGCTGATAACCGGCAACTGTATTTACCTGGTGATCTGCTCTGTCAGTGGACACATCTGATCACATGGTAAAAGGCCACCGTGATTAGCCATTTATCGTATCACATGATGAGCTGTGTCTGTAGAACACAGCGATCACCAGCGGTGCCGGGGGCGTGCAGGGGGGCATGTTTTGGAATGACATCCATGGATGTTGAGCCAGGATTACACAACTGCGCTGTGGCCATCCTTCAGCTATAGCGCGGTTGGGAACCGGTTAACCATGCTTCTTTTAAGCCTCTTGCACTGTTTAATGCAATTTGGCCACACCCACAATTTGGTGCTGTAAGCTGTGCTATTGGTTCAAAACTTTTTTTGTGTGTAGAAGAATGGTATTGGACAGAGTGGTCCAAGTCTCTTTTTGGGTCTCTCATCAGTGCTCTTAGCTCCTCTGTGCATCACCATAAGTAGCCACTTTCTGTGTGGATGCATGTGCGGGTCCATAGATGCACACAGTGTGGCTCAGCCCCACCCCCCCACTTCCTCCTCACAGAATTAGATTGACAGCAGCAGGAGCCATTGTCTCCTGATCTCACTGAGTCCTGTAAGGAGATGGACAGCAGCACTGTTGTATGTGGGCACAGCACTGGATTGAATTGGGACCAGGGGCGGACTGACAACTCATGGGGCCCCCGGGCAATAGGGGATCATGGGGCCCCTGTGTCCTTGCCCAAACTCAAAAAAGCCTATGAAAAAGGTACCAGGGGCATCTCATGGGGCCCCCTACTGACCCTGCGGGCAGCGCCCGAGTTTCCAAATGGTCGGTCCGCCCCTGATTGGGACATATTGTGCTTTGGTAAATGGTTGTGGACTGCAGTGCAATTTTTTATTTTGACGCGTTTTGGCTTAAGGAGCCTTCTTCGGCCTCCTTGTGCCGAAACGTGCTGCATCCTGTATAATAATATACATGTAATAATGTATAATAATAATAATTTCTGCAGTCTCTGA